GTGAGCTGTACACATGGCTCACACTGCGTTTGGTTTTTAATTTTTTTTTTAAACAAAGTTTTTACTCACGGAAATACGGAACTTAAACTCAAAACCAAACGACATTGAAGTTTATTTTCGAAATAAGTTCCGTAAAGAATAAGACTTACTGTACAAAAATGTATTTTTTTTAAAAATCATTTATGGTTGTAGCCATTCAAGCATTCGGTTTTGAGCAACACATCAATTTTCGTAATCGACTTCAAAGTGGAGTTCCAAGTAAAATCCGCAATTGTTGTGGAAATTTTCAACAACCTCTTTGAAAAATTCATGATCGACAGTCGTGCGATAATTGTCAGTCAATTTCATGTGAAAATTGATGTGTTGCTTAAAACCGAATGCTTGAATGGCTACAACCATAAATGATTTTTTAAAAAAATACATTTTTGTACATCATATTACCTACCTTTTTGAAAAAAAATATCCTTTGATAATTCGTCTGAAGATAATTTCACGAAAATAAAGTTATTGCGACATTTGACGCGAATCAAATATATTTTATTATCCATTTAGGAGCATTTGCACAACAGTAATTTTTATTCGCAACCAAAAATGAAGACACAATGTCAAATTCAATTTTCCATTCTCCAAACGTTAGTGTCACTCCAATACTGGTGTTATCGAAAGCATGAGCGGAGTGAACGCACCCATCACTCCGATACTTGGAGTGACAGTACACTGTGTTTTTTATGTGTGTAAGCTACTGGCATAGTCTTCTATTGAACCAAGCTCATTTTTCACGTGAAAAAAAACCACTTGAATTTTTTTTAGGGCAGTATATTGACCGACCTTGCTCGGTCCAGGTCGGGCAATATTGAATTCGAAAATATTGAAAATGTCAACAGTATAAACACAATTTGAGGTTATCTGATGATTTTGATTATCAACAACATGAAGTTGACAGCGAATGCATCGGGCAATATCGAGTGAATTCGTATCGGGCAAATCTACAGCGATCCAAATTTCAAACCGAGAGCTCATTCAGAGTTTAAAATTCAAAGTGTGAAAACGCATTTCAAATCGCTCCGCAAAATCCAAAATTATTTTACCGAAGAAAAATCATTTCATTTTCAATCGTCGTACAGAGAAGACGTGATTTACAATGGCAGACATTTATTATATTTCGGACGATAAGTTCCGTCCGGACGGTAGTCGAGATCCAGCATTTCCGGAACTGCCCAGAATCGAAGGCCGGAACATGGTAGATGTAATGTGCGCACACTGCCCGGAACAATCGCAAGTAATTTGCGAACTTTATCAAGTCAAGTTAGTTCGCACCGTCCCTGACGGACGGCATATGTACGTATCCGCACAATTATCGGCTCAATATGGCTATATCACCTACTATAACATCGAGTACCGTCGAAGCACGCGTGGCCATGCCGGTTGGTTTTGCCGAAAATGTGGCGGAGCTTTGACGCGGATGGAGGACGCAACATTTGAACCGCTTAGAATAAAAGTAGATAATGGTAGAAAGTTAAAAAAAATCTCAATCATAAAGTTCTGTGAAAATAATACTCAATCAAGAAAAAATTAAAAATTAAAGTCGATCAAAAAATGAGTAAAAATAATACTCAATCAAGGGAAAAAGTGAAAATAAAAGTCGATCATAAAATGAGTGAAAATAAAATGCAAACACAATTTATGATCGATTTTTATTTTCACTTTTTTTCTTGATTGAGTATTATTTTCATAGCACTTTATGATTGAGATTTTTTTTAACTTTCTACCATTATCTACTTTTATTCTAAGCGGTTCATTTGTCAATCGAATGCGGGTCGTGTTCAGAATTGCCTTGAACCCTCCGTATGTAATCATCCGGCATCGATTCTGTCACCACCACCGTGAATGAACAACACCATGTTTATCAAAATCAAAATAAACCGTAATCCAGTAGGAATTCGAAAAATTTAAAAAAACTCTTCTACTTCATTTTATTATTTTATTAATTTTTTGAATTCTATGGAAAGCTCGAAAAAAGTGTTTACAATTCTTCACACTCCCCTACCTTTCCGGCCTAGGGGTGCGGAAAAGTAATAAAATCCAAGGGTGGGAAAAGTAATAAAGAAACCTCCCATTCATAATTTTCGATTTTTTGTCCAACAACCAAATTTTGTATTTAATTTTTGACGACATTTTTTCAAACTTTCAGAATGTTATTTTTTGATAAAAAAAATGACCTGTAAGAAGTTTCACGTCATTACGATTACAGGCGTCTTTAGGAATTTTTGTACGAAAAGTGTGTTAAAGATTATTCGTATCGCAAAACTAACGCCAGATTCGGATTTCTCGTACTACACATTGTACTACAACAGTTCGCGTTCGTTCGTGTTCGTTCGTGCTTTGTTTTGTTCGTACGTATGACGTACGTATCTTTCTGATCAGAAACGAACACGAACAAATAATTGTAATTCTGTAAATCAGGAATCAATAAAACATCTTAATGCAACGAAATCTTGCGTACAGATTTTATAACTTCAATAGTTACCACTAAGGAACAAATGGTCATACTCGCCCGACATGAATTTGTCATCTTCTTCATCTTGTAAGCTTCTCATAGGTGCCAATTCCACAGCTTCATCTGCTTGAACCGGCTCGAATATTTCGTCGATATGATCCACAATCATTTCCTCGATGTTTTGTTCACAGTTGTCATGAAAACAATTTAAGTCTAAGTAAGGAATTTTCAAGTGATTTCATTAAAAATAATCATCTCAAATTTAATTTATTCATGGAAATCTATGCTCTGATGAAATATTTGCTTGGAAATAAGTATTCATGCATTTCTTTCAGATTCACAAACTATATTTTATTAGAGAATTATAGCATGTTTTGCCATCATTTTGACTTTTTGAAGATAATTACTCCAATTCATACCTTTCTCTTCACTTCCGCGATCAGTTGAACAAACTTCCATGTCTGGATCAGTGTCTGAATCAGCAGCTTTGCTCATGTCTGGATCAGTGCGTAATTTTATATGCATTCGGGCCAGTGGTACATCATCGTCTTTACTGGTTTCATCATCACTTCTTTTAGTGGGGAAGGAATTTGAACTGATAGAATTGCTGATCATTTCGTTGGAATGTTTTTTGTTTAGATGGCGTCTTAAATTTGTCCGATATGTAAAAGTCAGCGAACAAAAATCACATTTGAGCCGTTTTCGCGAGGTCGAGTGGATTTTCATATGGTTAATTAGATTTTCTTTCCGCTGTAAAGTTTTATCACATATTTCACAAATAAATTTGCCCTTTTTTTTTCGGTACCTCAAACCACTCAGCTGCACGACACAATTCTTTCCTTTTTTCAATGGAAATGTTGGGATGTTTGCCCGCAAAATGTACTTCAAGGTTGTATTTAGTAGAAAAAAATCCACTGCACTTCAAACACTTCAATTTTTTCATTTTCGAGCAAATAACAATTCTTTTTGACACTCGTCAAATGAATGAAATCCTTTCCATCTCGGTGATGCGATTGTGTCTTTGGTTTTTTGTGTACGAGAAACCGTTACCGCGTAAGACTTCTTTACGAATCTAAGAATATCAGTAAACGGTAAATCGTCTTGTGATGACAAACTTTGTACAAGGCGCAGGACAGTATCTTCGAATTGGGAATTTGTTTTGGTTATATTTTATTGCTTTATAAACAAATCTTGATATGAAAAAAAATATTTTTTTCATGTTGTTTTTAGATGTGGAGCTCTCAAATACTAATAAAAATATAATCGACATGTTGCCAACAATGCTACAAAAAATTGCTGTAATGATCTGATTTCTGAATCAGTAATACTGAATTTACTGAATAGCTTTTCACGGACAGTTCGCGGACGTTCGCGTTCGCATTCGTGTTCGCGCGAACAATTATTTGAAGCGTACGAACAAACAAGTACAGTCGCATCAAAAATCAATCCGTTCGCGTACGTTCGTGAACAGTTCGTTGACAGCCTTACTACACATTTTATATCTTGATTTATGTCTCTGGAAAAAAGTTATCGAATTAACAAATTTTTCCCTATGGTTACACCATGAATAGACTGATGGACGAAAATCCTTCAAAAATCCTTCTATTCGTCGCAACCCCCAACCATCCTGTAAAGTCATATTTGGATTTGCTTTTCTCTGAGAAGAGTTATCGTGCTAACAAAAAGGTCAAAATTTTAAACTCAAAACCAGAAGATATTGAAGGCTAAACGTTTTGAGCTGTACACATGGCTCACACTGCGTTTGGTTTTTAATTTTTTTCAAACATATTTTTTACTC